AAGTTTCAGAAAAATATTGAGGAATAAATAGGTTATTGATGGTCGTAATCTAATATGAATTTTTCCTCGACAAAATATGATATTGGCCTTGGAAAATATCATATTGACACTTGGGCTGTCGCCACCAGTCAATATGATATTTTACTTTGTCAATCTTATATTTCTCCTAAAATAAATTTCTCAATCCATCCCTCCCAGTAGATAACCTCTATGTATTTTGAATTGCCACATATATTCCCCTGTTTATGAAATTATTGACTTCAATTGAATATTGAGTAATCTTTACAATGATGCATAACACTTACATCACAATTCTATTTTTCCGCATATGGGAATTTAGCCTTAAGTCACCCCCCTTCAAAAAGATTTGCAAAAGTATTATTTCTTATTAAAATTCCTAATATCATCATTATATTTTCACTTTAGATACCCGGGTTTAGATATATCTAGAGGTGGTTAAAATGAAAGCTAATATGTTCTTTATTGATGTGTTTAATGTTTCTCATGTACATTTTTACATCCACGTTGGGATGGAATAGCTAGAAGTTTGTCAACCACTTGACATTGTATTTGTTGCTACTATTTTGGGGAATAATACAAATCAAATCATATTTTCAGGATTCCTGTGGTGAAGTTTTATGGTATGGGAGAAGATGGTCTTTACTCCATACATATAGTTGATGGATGTGTCGACAAAACATCTGGATTCCTAGAAAGAGTAATGCCTGGGTACCAATTCCACTCTGTCCCCTGGATGAAGGATGAATCTATCCACTTGCTTGGACATAGTGGAGGACCTCTACACAGCAGGAAGAGGGATACTGCTGATGAAGGTATGCTTGAAAATTTTGTGACACAGCCAAGTGGCACTATTGGGGGACTGGTTGCTCTAGTTGACCCAAAAGTTGAGAGTCTAGATGAACTATATGTTCTCACAGCCAACCATGTGGTTGAACAATACAACCCTAATGTGGAATATATTTCCTGGTCAAAGGAGGATCAAAGTGACAAACGTGTAATTGGAAGAGAAGTCCCATACAGAATACCATTGAGAATGGAAAGCACTGATGAAGACAACACAGACATGGAGGAAAATAATGATGATAGTGTGGTGTTTGATGATATTGTGGATGAGTCTAATAACTGGAAGGATGATGCAAACCATGATATCAATGCAGAGGAGTTTGATAAGGAAATGTTAGGAAAATGGAAACACTGTATTATTATGAAAGATGAAGATAGTGATGAGGATGAAGATAGTGATGAGGATGAAGATAGTGATGAGGATGATGATAGTGATGAGGAGGAAGGTAGTGATGGGGAACAACAATTTGATATTGCCTGTATCAAAGTGGATGATCAAAGAGAACATCAATTCATCAAAGTGAATGAAGTGGATGGTCAGTGTGAAGATGTCTCCATCAAAGTAGAGGATCAAAGAAAAAACCATGCCAACAAGGTGGACAATAAGCCTAATAATGTCTCCTTCAAAGGAAATGATCAGGCTGAAGATCTGTCTATCAAGGTAGATGATCAGTGTGAAGAAAGGTCCATCAAAGTTGTTGATCAGAGTGAAAATGGCTCCATCAAAGTGGATGATCAGCATGATGATGTCTCAATCAAGGTAGATGAACAGCATAAAGATGTCTCCATCAAAGTGGATGATCAGAGTGAAGAAAGCTCCATTGGAGTTGTTGATCAGAGTGAAAATGGCTCCATAAAAGTGGATGGTCAGCGTAAAGATGACTCCATCAATGTCGATGATCAGTGTGAAAACATAAAATATAAATACATTGCTTGTTCTGAGTGTTGTACTACTGATACATACAGATATGATCTTGAAGGTTTAGTTGGCTCAAATGTGGTAAAGCTGGGATCCTCTCACAAACAAATGAAAGGGAACATTCTGAAGGTAGATGCAGCAGGTGAAATCAAAGTTGGGAAAAAGACTGCATGGGTAGAGAACATGGTAGCTATTGGTGCAGATACCTCAGATTCTGACATTGCGTATACACAGCCAGGAGACAGTGGAACAATAGTATGTATGAAAGATTTTTATGAAGATCACTATCCAACCACTATCCACTATCCAACTTGTTTGATGATATTTGCAGGATGGGGAAAACTAAATGAACACAACAAATGGAAGCAACCCGTGTCTCTAGCATTATCACTGCCTGAAGCCCTGGAGAAGCTCGCTGAACAAGTCCCTGGAAATAATGAGAAATCTAAGAAATACAAGAAAAAATTTAAGTTATCTTGCTGCAAGAAAGTATTTGAAGAAGCAGAGCAATGAAAGGAAGAATGCTCAGACTTTTCATTTCCAAGAATGTGGCTTCTTGTTAAAAACAATGATGTGGATTTTTTATTATGACAGTACTATATAGACACGATAAAACACCCAGCTACCAGTTGCGAATAAATCAACTAAGAAAACCTCTGGTATCATACTGCCATGAAGTTGAATAATCTTGACACAAACAATAGATAGCTATTAGATGAAAACTCAAACAAATATTAATTTTAATTTTAAATTGAATTTAATGATTTTATGGATGTAAATATTTAATGTAATTCTTTAAATAACCATATATCCAGACAAACAATATATCCATTCTTTATTTGTAGATATGTGCATTCTCAATTTCCTAAAACTATTATGTTAAATTGTACAATTTCTAATAGTCATTTCAGATATTGAGTTTAAAAGTTCACTCAGCATTTCTGGGAAGACTTTTTTATATTGAATGAATGTGAAAGTTGACTTCTCAAATGAAATGTCGTTTAGACCTTGGCTATTTAGCACTTCATATAAAATATATAGAGGTTATTTAATGGGAGGGATGGAATATGAATTTTATTCCGAGGGAAAATATGATTTTGGCCATAGAAAATATCATACTGACCGAGGGCGATAGCCTGAGAGTCAGTATGATATTTTTCGAGGCCAATATTATATTTTCTCAAGGAAAAAATTCATATTCCATCAGGGCCATCAATAACCTATTTATTCTATAATAATTTCCTAAAACTTATTTATTTTTAATTTTAACCAATGATTGTGACATAAAATGATACAATTTATCATATAACATTTTCAGAAACTAGAAATTACTGGGAATAGTTCTGATACGGGATCTGATACAGGATTTTTGCTGATAGAGGATCCAATACGGGATTTCTTTGAATATCAATTTTATTACCTGTTATTTTCCGGGGAAAACATGTTATTATTATGGAATAAATATATATATCACTACATGAAAAATTATTTAATCTTCAAAGGCATTTTCTGTCTGTAAACTATATTCTATGTTATTATATCAAGCAGAATCAAGTATGTTACATTTGTATTGCAATAAATGTTTTTATGATCCCTTAACTTTAATTCATATTATTTAGCATCATCAACTAATTTCTATTTGTATTCGCTTAATAATGTACAATTTTAATCATAAAATAGACTGACCCAATGTGTAAATTATGATTACTAACCAAAGCTAAGAATTGCTTTAAACCCTTCATTGTCAGGGTTTGAGTAGAAATTGATTAAATTTTAGCATTTTATGAAGGTATTCTAAAGCGCTTATTTATATATTTGGGATCTTTATAAATGAATTATAACAAATTACTATTATATATTTTTAGCCAAGAGCTTATTTTTTGTAACAATGACAAAAATCGTTTATAACATGATCAACTGAATATGAGCAAAGTCAACTGCAATTTTCTTATAAACAAAGTTAAACCCATTCAACTGTGCAATGTAAATTGCAATTTTAGACTGTATTTTTAGAGCACTTCATATATATTTGTGATCTTTAAGATTGTAAATGAAACTTACTACATGTACATTTTAGCTTATAACTTTTTATAACCATGCCAAGAGTCTTTGTGAAGCTTAGATGAACTGAATAAGCAAAGTAAACTGCAATCTTCTTAAGAACAAAGTTGAAACCATTCAACTGTGTAAAGTAAACTGCAATTATTGAATATATTTTTAGAGCATTTATGTAAATTGATGATCTTTAAGATTGTTATTGAAACTTTCTATATATTTTAGCTTATATCTTATTTTATAACCATGCCAACAGTCTTTTAGAAGCTAATGAACTGAATAAGCAAAGTAAACTGCAATTTTAGAATGTATTTTTAGAGCACTTCATATATATTTGTGATCTTTAAGATTGTAAATGAAACTTACTACATGTATATTTTAGCTCATAGCTTATTTTATAACCATACCAAGAGTCTTTTAGAAGCTAATGAACTGAATAAGCAAAGTAAACTGCAATTTTAGAATGTATTTTTAGAACACTACATATATATTTGTGATCTTTAAGATTGTAAATGAAACTTACTACATGTATATTTTAGCTTATAGCTTATTTTATAAAAATGCCAACAGTTTTTAGAAGCTAACGAACTGAATATGAGCAAAGTAAACTGCAATCTTCTTATAAACAAAGTTGAACCCATTCAACTGTGCAATGTAAACTGCTATTTTGAATATATTTTAGAGCACTTATTTATATTTGTAATCTTTACAGATGCGTTATGCCATAGGTGTCTGTCTCCCCCAGACAATCAATGATGTCCTATTGTTATTGCTCATATAATATCTCACATACCATCGATATATCTTGAGAATAACTTTTGGGTATATTATTGCCGAAATATAGGAAATAATCAACAGAACAACCAAACTCCAGAATTAAACACAAACAATTCCTCGGCTAGCGAGGGGAATTCCCATTGAGTCACACAGGTGCCCACAAGGGCCTTGAACCAGGCAGCCAATCAGGTTTATGATAAACAAATTCAACGACCAATCAGATAACAGGAGGACTTTCCCGGTATATTAAAACTTCAGATTCAACTCGTGGATAAAAATGATATCCCTCAAAATCATAGGATATCCTATACGTATTCCATGCCATATGACAATGACTTAAATTCAAACTCCATCATTTCTCTTAAATATTTTCATTAGTGCTTACCTTGCTGAATGCAATTACTCTGTTGTCAGGGTTACCATCATCAAACCAGTGCGACATGGCAACAATGTTGTTAATACGTTTGATAAACTTTGTCTGGAATTATAGCAAATACGGCATGAACACCCAGGAATAGCCTGACAACAGTAAAGTCAGATACAGTTGTCACAAATGGCGTACATAACAATCGCTTCAATTAGATTTTCACGAACTGTATGTTTAACAGAGCACCTAGACTAAATTCATTTGGAATAACAATTGATCAAAGTGTCTTTATACTCATTGTACAATTAATAATGTTTTACCATCGAAATAAAATCTTTAATTTAACTGATCAAAGCAAATGGGATATCATATGATACATTATCACAAAAGCTTAATACATGGAAAGAATTAGCATGAAATGAGGATCAAGTGATTTTACAGTTGAAGCGACGGTTACGTCAGCCATTTGTGACAACGGTATCTGACGTTACCTAATCAGGATATTCCGCTTTGATGAAGTTAACCAACTGTAATGTATTTGAATTGTTTCCCGGTAATTTAACAATTTATATATAGGTTCATTCAGTGTAATTATTGCTTGCACACTTCCCATCATGCAACAGTTTGTACTTTCACCCAAAGTAAAATGAAATAAAATGTTTTGTGCTTTGATTAAAACATCAGTTTATGTTTAATACAGAACACCAACAAAGCCAACTAAATTAAAACTTGTAAAGTGGACGCCTCTATAAGTAGAACACCTTCATGAATCATCTGTGAAACATTTTTCTAAGTCGCATTTTGAATTAATTCTAATGTTGAATGAACCTTGGAGTCGGTACATGATGCTGCATTTCCAAAAAGAATTTTACTACATATTGTATTTAACTCAAGTATCCTCCTTTACAGAATACTTACCTTTTTAGATGTAGTAAAGTCAAGTCGAAAGGTAACTTGAACGAGACCTTCCATGTTATCTAGCATAGAGGGGTCTGCAAACTCTCGATGCATTTCAATGGCTTCATTAAAATCATGAATTGTAGGGCTATAGAATAATTTGAACCAAACATCATCTACTGGGACTTTGTCATTGGCACGTCTTAATTTTTCATCTAGTAGTTGAATTTTCCTCGCTAAATTTGGCAATACATATCTGAAAAAAGAAATGTATACTGCGTGTAACATTGAATGCATCAGAAACATCAGTATACATGGTATAAGGGTCTTGCCATGTGGATAACAGATATTGGCAGAAAATGATCATATATGTTCACAATAAAAATTTGTAGTCAGTCAAAACAGTACATGATTGTTGAGTTATTGGAAGTTTTAAGAACTTGCACTGCGTCAAATGTGAAATTCCAAGCAATTTCTAGACGTGCAAAGATAGTCTAGGAACTCCGCGTATCTAGAGATTCCAAGACGTGTCAAGAGGTGCAAAGACCTCGCGTGTAAAGAGCGTGTCAAGAGTTTTGATATCTCTTTGCACAGCCTTATCAAAACAAACAGTATAATTAGACTGGCCACATGTTGTTATGCCCTATAGTCGCGCTTAATTATACTTTACTAGGATTGGAATATAACAATCATTTTAATTTCGTGTTAATAATAATTTGTGTTTTTTAAATCATTATCAAAATAAAATTAATTTAAAAGTATGCGTGTGCGTGTAAGTATAGGCAATAGCTTAGTCGGAATATGTAGATGTGTGCAGATGGAGATCGCCTATGTATTTTGCTAAATCTGACATTTTTACAGGATCATGTTAAAGATCAAATGAAAACACGAAATGTGTTTTTCTTAGGTTTATCTACCCTGATTTCGAGTGATTTTAACTTGGACGCATATTTCTAGATATTAAAACAGTTTGAATAATTAACAAAGTCCACTTTGAACCGTGTCAATCAAATTATCAATTGTCAAATATGTAGATAGCACATGCAGGCCCGAATACAGGGGGGATAGATTGGTTCTAGCGACCCCCCCCCCCTTCCGTGACCAAAATTGCATTTTTTACCCATACTGAGCACCTTTTAAATTATTTTGCTCATTTTTGAACTAACATTGCCAAAAGTAAACTCCCCCTGGAATTTCTTAAAAAGTAACCCACCCCTTGGCAAATCCTGGCTATGGGTCTGAAACGCCTGAAACATGCTCTGATATAATGAGGCATATTCTGTGATCTGAGCATATCAGATGGGAAGAGTTATGATTGTCAATAAGTGTGATTGTTATCATGTAATCATCTACCTTAATGTCAATACATTACATAATGTAGTAAGGCATTGTACATGTATTTAACAACAGGCACATCCTTCTTCAAAGGACTTCATTTATACTTGTAAAATACCCTTCCAGCGAGGATGCAACAGGCACAGTTACACAAGTTTTATGACCCCAATTAGATGAAATATGAGCTGGGATGAAAGATCTCAAAAATCAAGGGCTGGGAAGATTTGAGATGTCATGGTTTACTATCATGACGCTGAAACATGTGTCGCTTATTGTCACCTGTATTGATCATGATGGGGCGACGGCAGTGCCCCGAGTCTTTTTGATCTGTTTAATCTTATTAGTTACTATTTAAAATTGAATAATTTAGGACCCCGGAAGCAAAACAACTCTTTGTTATGAAAGGAATACACCACCCACATGGACAGAACCCCTCATGTAAACCATCTATAAATATACCTTTGAAATCAATTTGATTTTCGATCTACATCTGAATCTCAGATGGAGAGTACTCTTTGACAAGTAGCTAAGCCTAATCACCTTACGATAATTCTTTTTATGATAGAAGCACCAAAATTGGTACAAGTGTAACTGAAGGCAATTAAAAAAAATTGGCTCGAGGCAGCAAGTGATCCGGAGCCTCGTTCTGAAAAAAATCCAAGATGGCCGCCAATACATATAGATTTTTAAGAAATTTGAATTATCTTTGAATTAATGTTGTATTTTAGCTCTAAACCAATTGTATTTGTTTAAGAGAATTCGAGACAGTTGCTTGTGATATAGGAACTACTTTACAATATATTTAACTATTAAAACGGGTGTTCAGCAAGGCTCAGTATTAAGCCTTGTACTATTTTATAAGCTTTTATTGAATTACTCATAATTATACATATCAATATGAGAGTCACACATATGATTAAGAATAAATGCTTGATAGACTCTGCACTGAAGGGATTTTAAATATATTTTCTTTTGGAAAAAATCTCTAGCCATGTTAAAACATAGTATGTACATAGTCAAACGTGACATACATATAGTAAATCCTGGTCAAATACCAGTTCTTGCGGCTGACCAACCATTGTTTGCTTCCCTGGAAACCATTCAATAGTTATACCCTGATACACGTGGGGAAGATAAATACTTGATCATGTTTGGAGGTCTCCATATAGAAATGGCATTCCAGAAAGTGATTGGTGATTGGCTGACAGGCAGCGGTTGGGTAAATGTAATTGCTCAGTCAAATACAGCATCAGTTGGTACTGCAGAGTCCTTCCTAAAGGAAAGCCATATGACCAAGACTCGAAGAGCACGTAAAAATTACGTTGGCAGCACTCCACATCCTAATGAATAAAGCTTTCAACATATACCTAGTTGCTGCCAAACTCAGTGATGTAGCCCCCATATCCTTTGAAGAATGGAAAAGGGAAGGGGAAGACAATTCCCCCCATTTCAAATACTGGGCTATAACACAGCGCCTTGAAATGCTGCTTATGATCATTGTTAGATCCCTGAGAGAGGCAGACTTTAAACTCTACATATCTGTTTTGACCAAGATGATGCCCTGTTTTTTTGCATTATATCATACACACTATTCTAGATGGCTCCCAATACACCTGAGGGACATGGTCCAATTGGAGACAACTCACCCTGACCTGTATCAGCATTTCAATGAAGGTCTCTTTACAGTTCAGAAGACACCTAGGTCATTCTCAACCATCCCTATAGACCAGGCCCATGAGCAAATAATGCTCTGATTAAGGGTTCTGGTGGGGTTATAGGAATAACAGAGAATCCTACTGCACTGAAACGATGGATGATAGCTGGTCCTGCAATATCCCAGATCATCAAAGAGTTTGAAGAAGTCTCAAGTATAGGAGACATGAAAGCCAATGAAGACTTTAGCCACCACAAGCAAACAGCAAGCATCCAACAGAAATTTAGAGATGATGTATTTGCTGTTGTGACTACTACTGATAAACTAGGCAATCCATTCCTTGTGTCAGGTGAAGATGTATTTACTATTGACACAAAGGATGTTATATGTATCAGTAAGTGCCACCATCAGAAGTATAGAAGACATTGGCAACCAAAGCTTCACTAAGTATACAACTGAACGTCTTATGGAGAGAACTGAACCATTGGATACACCAATAAAACGCCACAAGATCGCAATGTTTAGCAGCAAAATACCCAAAAGAACAAATCAGAAATCTCATATCAAGAAAATGAGAAATGACTGTGATTTATTCTCCAAATTATACATCACATGCCAGACAAGAAACATTGATCTTGATGACTTTCTCATGCATGAGAACCAGGAGTATCCACCTTCACTGGCAAAGTATGGTGTCCTCAGAAATGGTGACAAATCAGAGCTACTTGACTGCATGGAGGATATTGTCTCAAGGGGAAAAGATAGGCATGCTGTTGTTGCTGAAATAATAGATGGTGCATGTTCAGTACACCTTCTAAAACTAACTACAGCAAAGACCTTTGAGGATTATGCCACTGATGTTTTCCTTCCCTACATCCAAGGTCAGCTGCAACATGTTGATCGCCTCGATATATCTTTGGGACGAGTACCTGACAAGGAGCCTGAAGACGATGATGAGACAAGCGTGGGAAGGGTGACAGAAGGACAACCTATCTTGGTAACACTGTGGCAGTCTTACTTGAAGCAACAAGCAAGAGTTGTTTGGTATTTTAGCCTACAAACTATCAAGTCTTCCATTAGATGCATATAAACAGATTGTGACCACCATTGGTGAGAAGGTGATTTGCAATCCTGCAATTAGTGATACAAATGACTTGGAGCCATGTTCTCATGAAGAAGCAGATACTAAAATGTTTGTCCACATTGCCCTTATGGCTAGAACAGGGTTTGCCAGAATACTTATCAGAAGCAATGATACTGATATAGTTGTCCTTGCTGTGGCTGCCTCTGCCCAACTCGGTATTAGCATATGAGTTGCATTTGGAACTGGGAAAATCTATAGGTATTTGGCTGCTCATGAGATGGCAAGAGCTCTTGGACCTACCAAATCAGAATGTCTCCCTGTTTTCCATGCATTTACTGGGTGTGATAGCACATCGTCATTTTTTGGCCATGGAAAAAATAATGTTGGACAGTATGGAATAAATATCCAGAAGTAACAGAAGCATTCCTCGCTTTAAAACAAAACCCACATCACATAGCAGAAGAAGCTCTATTTCTATTGGAAAGTTTCACAACCATTGTGAATTATTGTGTTTTATGGATTATGGCGACGGCTTTTTTGAATGGATGTTGACCGTTTGAAATGCCTATGGACTTGGAGACTGGATTTTATCTATCCCACACCATTTGAGACTGAATGCTCTATCTTGTATGAGTACTTATATGTACAACTATTTTGGATGTTATGAGTATTGGCTATCAATTTCTAATTTTTTCTTTAACATGTATTGTAATGACTTCAGTATGAATGAAATGTCCCTTGGTGTTCTGGTCTTGGAATGTGATATCGGTTCTTGAATGGTGGGGAAAGGGGGTATTATATATTGTTTTTTTTCACGTTAAATCATGGTTTTGGGATATATGGGGTTTGTTTTTCTTGACTGGTATGCACTAAGAGTTTGCTTTTTCTTGCCGAGTTCCATTACAACTTTTTGTCCTTTCCTTTGGCACTTGTGCTTAGATATTTGTCATTGTTCTCTATGACAGGACAAGTTCAACAACTGATATTAACTCAACCAGAAAATATCTTTTCACCAAAAAGGGAAGACAGATTGACAAGATACCTCCGACTAAGGCAGCTTTGGAGCAGCATATAAGAAGATCGGGCTTCACAGGAGGGATTGTTTGAGGCCAAATACTGGATCCTCGCCCAAGTGGTGTCCACCCAAGTAAAAAGAAATGGCAACTCTCATGTAATAATTGGT